TTGAATACTCTTCTTCACTCGGTCTCGTCTCGTCTACTGCTATGGTCTCTTTCTCGGCGAGAAATTGACGGTTTATGGTTTTGAATTTATGTGCAGGTTTCGTCCGGCGACACTCTGTACACGTCAGCTACCACCTTCGAAGAACTGAATCTCTCACCGGAGCTTTTGAAGGGACTCTACGTGGAGATGAAGTTCCATAAACCTAGTAAGATCCAAGCCGTAACCTTGCCTATGATCTTGAATCCTCCGAATAGGGATTTGGTCGCACACGCGCATAACGGTTCCGGAAAAACCACGTGTTTCCTTCTTGGTATGCTTAGTCGAGTTGATCCAAAGTTGCAGGCTCCTCAAGCTTTCCTAAGACATTGCTTTTTTAAATCGACATATAATCTTATTCTTTCATGGATTAAATAACCCATAACTATGGTTGGAAGAGCATTACTTTGGAGTCAGATTCTGTTCAAGCTTTAAGCTATCTTACCAAGTAATCTTGCTTGATCCTGCTTGATAATCTTATTCTACCATATAATCCTGCTTGATCCTGGACAAGTCCCAGCTGATGTTTAGTTACTACTGTTCGATCTGCTATGGCTAACAGTAGTGCCTTTTACGCTTTCTGTTTTTTGCTGTCTTTGTAGTTTGCTTTTAGGTTCTGTTTTTGTCTTGTGGGGCTATGCCCCATGTAATTACCAAAAATAAAATAAAAAAAATAACCCATAACTAAGAATGCAATAGCTGGTGGCCCCATACTTCCGGAAGAAAAGCTATATCCCTCCAAAGGGATATCTGATCGTGAGCCCTAGAAGTTTTTATTTTTTCTTCTTTTTTTTTTGGAAAAGCTCAGCAATGCCCTGCGTGGTTTACTAGAATCACCTATATCCCGTTGTTTTTTTTTATCACATATGTCTATTTGCAAAAAGTTATGTTTTTTATCACACATGCAGCTGTAATTTTTTTTTCACAAACCACATGGGTATATGTGATAAAAAAAAAATCACAAGGCATAGGTAATTCTAAAACAAACCATTTACTACAAAATCACCTATGCCTTTGATTATTTTTTATCACTCGTGTGGTTTGCAAAAGTATATGTTTTTTTATCTGCTCCCGTGATTTTTTACTTTTACAAACCATGGAACATATGTCATAGGTGATTCTAAAGCAAACCAGCTTCGGTGAACTTTCCTGTTTGTTTTTTTTTATTCGTTTGTTAATCACTGTTATCGAACTTTTCCTCGTGATTTTTTTATTTTTTACAAATCAATGGGACATATGTGATAAAAAACATTGGGCCATAGATGATTCTAAAACAAATCGGCATTGGTGAACTTTCCTCTCTTTTTTTATTCGTTTGTTAATCACTGTTATCGAACATTGTGATTTGTGACTGTGTTAGTTGTAGCTTGATGATTATTGTGTTGTGTGGCAGAATACTGAAGTTCTCCGAAAGATGGGAAAGTACATGGGGATTAGCTCAGAATGTGCTATACCAGCAGACAGTAGTGATGCTTTGCCGATAGCGAAACGGGCACCGATTATGGCTCAAGTGGTTATTGGGACCCCTGGCACGATTAATAAGTGGATGGCTTATAAGAAACTTGGGGTGACAAGGTTGAAGATTCTTGTTTTTGATGAGGCTGATCAAATGCTTGCTCAGGTAATTCTATCGTGATAATGAAATGTTGTTTATTTAGAATTTGAGGTTTCATTGTCCTTGGACTAGGCAAGCACATAGCCTTATCATTCTCCCTGAGCTTATTATTGTTACAATCTTTTGGGGAGTTGGCAACACCCTTGTTTTTTAATAGAATAAGTTACAATTAAATGGTAAGTTGTGACTCTCCTCCTTTAATGATGGATAAAGAGGAAGAGTGCACTAGTAGACCGCTTGTTTTAACCATAGTTTTAAATAGCGGGTAGCGGCCGACCCCAAAAACGCTATAGCGGTATAGCGGGTAGCGGTAAAACCGCTACTGTGAAGTCCATATAAATACTTATAATAAATTATACCACATATATTAATGCTATATAAATGCTAAAAGATAAGAAATCACCCAAAATAGGAGGAAATAAGTAATGAAAAGTATGATACTACACATTCAAAACAAGGATTAAAGGGAACATAAAGGAAGCAACATACTAGTTCATTGAAGGAAACTAAATTAATAATATTCTAGGAACATAAAGGATCCAAGTAGAGTCAAATACAAATTGCTCTATCAAAGTCAAGAAGGAAAAGAACTAATCAGAATTATCATCAAACATTTCTTCAAATTGTAGATTTGTTCATCCTCATCTTCTATTTCTTGGTTATCACCTTCTTCAATCTATTCATCCCTTATTCCCTTAGAGCTTGATGGCATAGAGGCAGCTTCCTTCCTGAATCTAGTATGCTGCCTAGTGTAAGTTATAAGCTCATTAGCCCCAGTTACATTAGCAACATCTCCCTTCAAAAGTTTAAAAATAAACCCTTTTTTAAAAACAAACCCTTTTCTAATTTAATTTATATCTTGTTTAAATTATATATTTACAAGTTTTCAAAAACTTTTTTTAAAAGATTTAAAATAATTATTAAAATGGAGGAATTGAAAGCATATTATCAACAATGAAAAAAAAAAGAGAGGAAATGTGTAGATATAGACTTATATCTGAAAAGCAGATGTGTGTGACAGCCAAAGAGAAGTGTACGGGACAACAAGGAGTGTGACAGCAAAGAGATGTGTACGTGGCAGGTGTGCATGTGACCTGATGACTGATTCAAACTTAAAGTTTTTTTTTAAAAAAAAATTGGCTGGCTTTTAAAGTTAAATATCTATTTTACCCTTCATTTATCCTTCCTTTTTCCCATTATACCCTTAAATGATAATCTAATTTAATAAACACAGCCACCGTACTTTCAGCGTTTCGTTTCCTCCAGTAGCGGCTTAATAACGTTGTAAGAGCTGTTGGCCGCCACTGCCGCCACCGTACGCTACCGGCCTCTACCGGAAACTGTGGCGTCGCGGTTCGAAAGTTGCGGCTGGGTGCCGCAACCCGCACCAGAACCGCTATCGCGCGCTATAGCGCCGCTATTTCAATCATAGGTTTTAACTCATGATAATATATATCTTTTTCTAGTTAGTAATTACTCTCTAGTAAGTATTCTAGAGATCCTAGGACCTAGTTTTAGGTTCAGGGAATTGTTATGGTTTACTGAATTAGTATTGTGATTTTCTTTTGTTTTTTAAAGCAGAGGTATTCGCAGTTCGGGTTCTAAATATGTTGTGCCCTAACTTGCTTAATTACTGTAAACTTTGCAGGATGGATTTAAAGATGATTCCCTGAGGATAATGAAAGGAATAGAAAAAGTCAATTCTAACTGTCAGGTTTGTTGAACTCTTTCTTGCGTAGTGTGCTTGTGTGCATGGCATTTTCAGCCATCCAAGAAATTCTGGCATAGACTTAGTCTACAAGTTGCATAGCCTAAGCTAAGTACACACTTGACACATCGTCATTTTACATTAAATAACTACATGATATATGTGTCAATCTACTACTTTTAAAATGATAATGTATTAGTTTATGTTTTGGTTTTATTTATATGACTTGTGTAGATCAAATCTATGCAAGAATTTATCAATCCATAGGGACAACACATCCATGTATACATGTTGTTTAAATTACCGTCACCCATCCTTCAACCTGTTCGGGTAGAACACCTGCCAATTCATGGAAGGTCATGCTCTCCCTGAGCCCTTGTGCAACTTGTGAAGTATATTTAAAAGAGTAAAGTGATTCATTCATCTTATAAGAACAGAAAAAAGTATGAGGAATTTTTTACGTAGTACATCATGCTCAATCAAATAATATTGCATAGATATGAAGATTGAATGTTAATTTGATTGATGCTAATGGTTTGCTATAATTTAATTTGAATATATGTAGAAGGGAATTATAACTGTTCCTTGTTATTTTTGTGCACCATAACCATTTCGTCTGTACTTAAATGAACATTTTACCAAGATTGGTTGCTTTGTATGTGATTCAAATGTTGTGTGTGCTTGTATGTGATGTAGTTGTTTTTTTAGTTTCTTTTCTTATCTAAGAAGATTTTGATTGACTTGTGTATGTCTAGGTTCTTCTGTTTTCTGCTACATTGAATGACATTGTCCAGAATTTTGTTTCGAGGACAGTCAAGCAGGATTATAATACACTTTTTGTGAAGGAACTATCTTTAGATGCCGTAAAGCAATATAAAGTTCATTGTCCTGATGAACTCTCTAAGATTGAAATGAAAAAAGATTACATACTCGAAATAGGAGAGAATCTGGGGCAAACTATAATATTTGTGCGCACAAGAAATAGTGCAAAAATGTTACATAAATCACTTGTCGAAATAGGAGAGAATCTGGGGCAAACTATAATATTTGTCAAGAAATAGTGCAAAAATGTTACATAAATCACTTGTTGTCGCTCCTGTTGTCGCTCCCGTCGCCCCAAGTAAGGGAGTCGACAAGGGAAAAAGGAAAGTGGTGAACATTGTTAAAAGGAAGGTCCGGTCTGCAGCGGACATTCCTGCCGAGGAGCTTGCTAGGAGGACTGGCGGTCCGGTTATTAAGGATGTGCAGGAGAATGCCCAGAGTTTGGCGGTCAACCCTTCTGCACCTGAAGTTATTCCTCCTAAACCAACGTATTCTGGAAGGAAGAGGGTTGCTAGCGAGGATTTAAGCTCGCCTAAAGGAGCTAAAACGGTTAGGGTGGAGCTGACTGAGTCTGGTCAATCAGGTGGCGAACCTACTGACGCTGTAGAGATCCCGTCGTGCGGATCCCATCGTTGGCGATGGTGTTATTGGCAACACTTCCTTTGGAAGGTATTGGTGAGGAAGCTTCATCTAGGAATAACGTTGAAGACACTGCTGGGGAGGACGCCACTGAGGGGGTCTCAATAGCTGAAGAGGGAATCCCTACTGAAGATTGCCCAACTTAGTTTTTCTTTTTAACAACTATCTGTGTTTGCCATAGTTGATTCACCACTGTAGAATTGTACTTGTTATTAATCAATGGATAACCTTTCTTTTGGCAACTTCAACGCTTGATTATTGATAAATGATTGTGTAATACGCTTATTAACTGCACACTGGCTGCGGAGTAATTTGGAACTTCCTCCAATATCTATGTTTTTTTTTATCTAATGTTAAATATACATCTGAGAGATTTTATGTATTTCTTTATTCTTTATTGATGACCCTTGCCATTAAGGATAGAAATTTTCACTAGAGACCAAAATTTGAGCATGGTCTACCAAATTCTCTTACGGATTCATTATGGCACAAAAGATGTTGGCACTTCAATCTCTGTTGCTTAAATTTTATGCATGATATAGACTTGATGAAGAATGTGTATACTGTTCAAAATACTAACTGTGTTCGTATATATGTTCTACCAACTTCAGAAATTGATAAATATACATCTGAGAGATTTTATATATTTCTTTATTCTTTATTGATGACCCTTGCCATTAAGGATAGAAATTTTCACTAGAGACCAAAATTTGAGCATGCTCTACCAAATTCTCTTACGGATTCATTATGGCACAAAAGATGTTGGCACTTCAATCTCTGTTGCTTAAATTTTATGCATGATATAGACTTGATGAAGAATGTGTATACTGTTCAAAATACTAACTGTGTTCGTATATATGTTCTACCAACTTCAGAAATTGATAAATATACATCTGAGAGATTTTATATATTTCTTTATTCTTTATTGATGACCCTTGCCATTAAGGATAGAAATTTTCACTAGAGACCAAAATTTGAGCATGCTCTACCAAATTCTCTTACGGATTCATTATGGCACAAAAGGTGTTGGCACTTCAATCTCTGTTGCTTAAATTTTATGCATGATAAAGACTTGATGAAGAATGTGTATACTGTTCAAAATACTAACTGTGTTCGTATATATGTTCTACCAACTTCAGAAATTGATAAAAAACCTTTGTACCAATATGGCCTAACTTTCTTTTATAGCTTAGAGTCTCGCCATTTAAATTAGGGAATATTGGTTATAGAATATAAAGGTTACACATTTTGACAGACTAAAATCCAATCCAAACAAGTAAAGGAAGAAAAATGGGGAGAAAGAACCTTGATGATCCCTTTGAGGTGCTTGACGAGCTCAGAATCGAAATTTGGGAGGTGAGAATGGTCTGCGAGAAGGAACAAATAAGAGAATGAGGAAAAGAAGTGATAACACATATTTTGTTACACTTATTTGTTACTCTTGATTAGTATTTTTAGGATTTATTTGAATAAAATAATGATTGTTAGAGTTAATTTAGGTTTTTAGTTTTTAATTGGGTTTAATTTATTTTCGTCAGAATTTTTCAGCTTTACGTTACTTCTGTATTTTGGCCATATCTCGGTCCATAGTTGTCGGATTGACTCCGTTCTTATTGGGTTTTTCAGATAACACAGAGAGATACAATTCTTATGCAGAGCTCTAAGCCCAATTCGGACTAGAAGCTGGTCGATTTCGGACACCAAGTTGGACGCGTTTTGCTGAAGTTTTGTTTGACTATTGGGCTTGTAATTTAAATTAAAACCCAATTACTTAAGTGGCCCAAAGCCAAGTTTTATTGTTTCACTTTATTTTATTCGGTTTTTTTATTTTATGTTTGGGCTGAAGCAATGAAACCCTAGCCGTCCTGCGTGACGGCTATTTAAAGGGGACTCTAGGAAACCCTTGGGAGTCAGTTTTTACAACAGAGAAGTTCTCTCTGAGTTTTTATTCAATTGCGTTCTTCATCTTTTTTTCTTCTTCTTCTTTTTATTTCAATTATGTTTACCTTAGCCATACGAGGCTAAGAACCTTTTAATCAACCTAAGGGTAATGGATTCCATGGATTGGTTTTGAGGATCTGCGTTTATTTCAAATCAGTTTTGTTTCCCTTCCCAACTCAGATTGATATCGTGCGATCGTGGATATTCAATCTGAGGTTCGCGATTGCGATTATGGAAAGGGATTAATCATCAGATTTGATGATTAGGTTGATTGACCCTATGACCTTAAATCAAGCGAGCTGATACTCTGCGATTGTATGAGTAGAAGCATCGTCTTTGATCAAATGCTAAGCGATCGCTTAGAGAGGGTTGTCAATTGGAAATAAGGATTCTGATCCGATTGACAAATCAATCACGATTCTGATATTTTCTTATCCTAGGAAAGACGTCCATGGATCCCAAACCTTAGGTTGGTTAATTTTTAATTACGAATTTTTATTCCAAATTTATACTCTGCCTTTTTAATTATTGAATCAAAATCCAAAACCCCCCTTTTTAATTTTCTGTTCTCATAAGCGATTTTAACCAAAACAATTTCCTTGAGAGACGACTTAGGGTTTCCACTTTACTGCAAATTTTCTGAACCCTAACTAAAGAATTAATTTTTAATTTGCGCGAGTTCGACAGCTCGTGTCAAATTTGGCGCCGTTGCCGGGGAAATTGCATCGGTCTAAATCGTTTTCTGATTCTTGATCATCTTCTTTTTCATCTTCATCTTCTTTTTCTTTAATTTTCGTTTTTGAAAAAAAAATTAAAAAAAAAAAAATCAATCAAAAAATCAAAAAAAATAAAAAATTGGGAAATCGGTAAAACTTCAGTTTGAGCGATTGGTTCCAGGACGTATCGGGTATTTCTGAACTTATTCAACTTGCTCTGATCGCTCTGAAAACTGGTTTTGCCAAATTCCTTTGTTTACTATTTTATTTTATTTTTCGAAAAAACAATTTATTTGATTTTTGAGTCCGTAAGGTCAATTAGAGTTTAGGAGTGTTGGTCCCATAGCATTCTGAGTTCATTTAGTATTTTTTTATAGATTTATTTTTGCTTCTGTTTGCTATGAATCCAATTTTTCACCCTACAGATGTTTGTTCTTCCTTTCCAGACAGCGGTTTCCAAGTTGATCAGTCTTTTGCTGCAGTTTTTCCTGCAAAGCCACAATACCAGCAGCAGCAGCAGCAAAAACAATCCTTTCTCTAATGCATATAATCCTGGCTGGAAAAATCATCCAAATCTCAATTGGAATCAGAACCAGCAAAGTGCACCATTCCAACAGAGGCAGCAGTTTGCACCTTCTCAACAGAGGCAAAATTTTCAACAATTTGCACCTCCACAGCCAATGCAGCAGCAAGCCAGTAGCGATGGTCCTTCTTTGGAGGATTTAATGAAGCAGATGGCAACTATCAATCTGCAGTTCCAGCAGATTACTGAGTATTCCCTCCAGAATCTGCAAACACAGATTGGCCAGCTTGCAACGTCAATGAGTCAAAATCAACAAGCAAGTGGCAGCTCCCTTCCATCCCAAACAGTTCCAAATCCAAAAGGAAGCGGAAATGTGAGTGCTACTACTCTGCGGTCTGGCAAGCATATGGAGGAGCCAAACCACACTGCTGCTGAGTCATCTAAGGGAAGTGACACTAGCTCCAAGAAGCAGAGCACTGATACATCTGATCATCTTTTTTTTCTGCATTGATGTGATAGATGAAGTTGTTGAGGATTTTTCTCCTGAATTCCTTACTAATTTTTCATCTATTCATGGTTCTGATTTCTGTGATTGTAGTGATAGTCAAGAGTGCATTGTGTGTGCTGAAATAGCATCACATCTTTCTGGTTTTAACGATGCACTTATTGATGAATCTGATTCTGAGTGTGAATCTGCACTTTCTGAATTGCCTGCTGATATTATTGATGATCCTAATTCTGTTTCTGAGAATTTGTTTACAGGCATTGCTGCTGACTTGTTTTCTGCAGAATTTGCACCACCAACTACACCTCTTCCATCCAGTGAGCAACCTCCGAAATTGGAGTTGAAGGTTCTGCCCGACCACTTGAAATATGCATTTCTTGAGGAAAATGAGCAGTTACCTGTGATAGTGGCCAAGAACCTTCTACCTGAGCAGGAGGTAAAGCTTCTGACATTGCTGAAAGAAAATAAAAAGGAAATTGGATGGACTTTAGCAGATAATGTGGGAATCAGCCCTTCCATGTGCATGCACCGCATTTTACTTGAAGGTGTTAAACCAGTGAGGCAGAAATCAGGCTGTTTGATGCTGTTTATTCTCCTTAGGGAGTTCAGGGAGTTCTCTTCCCTCTTTTTCTTTTCTTTCTGTTATTTGCATTTTTATTTTTCTTTTCCTTTCTTTCTTTTAGTTTTTGACTTTTTCTTTTCTTTCTGTTATTTGCATTTTTATTTTTCTTTTCCTTTCTTTCTTTTAGTTTATGATTTCTCATAGGTAGATTTTCCTTTTCTTTCTGGTAATTATTGAGTGGTACATAGAGTAGACATAGATCACAGTGTTTGATAGCATAAATTTGTTGGGCTTTGATCTCGATTCTTGGATTACAACTACCTGTTGATTGATTCTGTGCTGTTGATTGCATG